GGGGGGGGAGGGGCATGTGTAAGACAATGTAAAAATCCGTGTTCTGGCTGCTAAATACCAACCTTCTCGTCACCAACATTAATAGTAAATGTATTCCATAGCACCACCATATCAAATCCGTAAACTTTACCGTATTACACAGGTAAGTCACCATAACAAATCATCTCACGTACATACACCTGCCACAAATCAGCAAGTTTATGTATATAGCACCTTTTCTGTAGTAACATTCAGTTAAATTAATTTAATTTTCCAATAACGTGTTAAACGAGATTCATACCTTGTTCATCGTTCACATGATATTTGTGTCGGAACCATCAATGCCCGGCGACAAACCGATTTTTTAGTTTTACTTGATCACGTGATTCATCAGTTCGACGAGTCTTAATGCAGTATAGTTATGTTTTTGGTCAAAAGCCTCGTAGGAGTTCTAGGGATGAAAACAACACACGTTTAGACGTTTAGAGACAATGAAGTTGATGTAGAAAAGGAAGGAAATGTCCCACAATGCATCAGAAACACAGACACGTATACTGTACATACTGTACAATTTACATTCACCAGTATATCCGAATCAGCAGTAATCCATATTTCGTCATCTTTCACCACATTCATTTGGAAAAAAAACCAGATCACTCTTTTCATAAACGTGTTTCGTCCCAGGACAGAAAATTATTACACATTTCCTTCGGGTCTACCCCGGAAAACAAAACAAAAACGCTTTCTTCACACGACCGTTTCCCCAGCCCCGTAATCCACACTGTTAGTTTCCTGCACGTGATATAGATGTCCAGTGTCCTCTATCCGTTTCCTGGCGATCTTCACCAAGTTTTTCTCTTGTGATCCTATTGTTCGTTTGATCTGTTCCGAGGTGTCCCGGAAGTCAAACCAATCGCCTCTCTCACTGATACGGATATTGTGTTCGATTTCAATCATGTTTTTGCCCTGCAAGGCCTTAACTGGCGTAATATGCCGAGTCAGTAACTTGCCTACTTCCGCGAGGGCGTAGTTTGAGTCATTCGAATTATCTTCGTAGTAACTCGTGCCCTCCGTGAGGGCGTAATACCGATCAGGATGATCTTGGATCTCGCGGAACGTGCACGGCACGCACACGCATGCGGAGTTGATCTTGCTGTGAAATGTTGTTACGACTGTACTGTTGGCAAGACGACAGAAGCGTCTGTCTGATATTGATGGTCGATTGTGTTCAACTTTAAGACAATTATATTCCTGTATGACGTTAAGCTTACCATGCTCGTGGCCGCACATGTCGCACGGGCATGCGCTGTACGTGACCCCCACGCTCCTGGCCTGTACTTCCTCTGTCTTTATCCGACGAATTGAATGATTTATACCATTAAATTTTTGAACTATTTCGTCCAAATTTACAAGTAGAGATTCGTCTTCCTCGTCTCTATGTGATGAGACGGTGGTTTCACCCTGGTTGTTGTTATGGAACAATTCCCGATCACAAAGAGGACAGCACCAGGCAGACAGAGGATATCGCGCGACGTACCGACGCACGCATTGGTGACAAAGCACGTGCCCGCACGGGAACGTGTCCGGGAACTGCGTGATTTCACGAGACTTTTCATACTCTTCATGGTTGTGCTTGAAAGCGGGGGAATAATCCACCGGTTTTCCCCCGACGCTTACATCATACAACTGTAATGTCCCATCTTCCCTCGCCATGTCACAGCACTACACTAAACTGCCGCGGCCCAAATGCCTCCATACCGAACGAAGCGATACACTGAAGTGTCCATGTAAATTGATAACTACATGGTATACATGGTATACAATTCTGTCGACTATATCAGATATACAGTGAGTGGGTGCCTCACTCGCTCCGTTGTGATAAATTTAAAACGCTCTGTCTATATCTATATATACTATATCTATACGTGCCCAAGTACATATGATCGCTCGATGTCGACAGTGGGACAATATCACTTCACGTCATCGGTAAGCCGAGTGTCCAGCCGGTGGCCTAATCAATGGTGTCTGACGTCCGGTCAGACCCTAATGTTACTTAGTTATATTCAATGAACTTGTGTACACAGTGTGGTATAATATCCATATCTAACCTGGAGGTTAAACGGCACATGTATACGCCGACAGAACTCACCTTGATTTAAGTGGTTAGTTACCTGTATGCTCGCTTATATTAGACGCTCATAGCATATTCACGTGTCACATGGAGTGGTGTGTTCTAATACACTGTGGAGCTGATAAATATTTCCGTATATTTCTATATTTGACTATTTTTTGTTTACAGATACACCCAGCATGACTTGACTCCTAGACGTTTGTTACATTTATGCATATATCAACACAAGAAAAAAACCCAGATTAATAAACAGATATTTTAAAATTCCAGTATGTAATTTTCACTGAAGCAACTGATGTAAGTTTAATAATCCATCTCGAGTTTTGAATCAATGACCACGTGCCGTCGGCTGGAGTGAATCGAGAAGCCTCGTTTCCTTGGACGATTCCACACAAATAAAACTATTTCCCGAGCATTTGAGTATCACCACGCTCACCGTTTTATGTTGGCACAACATATCAAACACGTAGCGCGAGTATGTCATCGTAGCCCTGTTTGGTTCGATCCAGTCTTCCAATACAAAAAAATCATTCTTATCTAATTTCACACGCAAAACAAGTATAGATGCTACACAAAGAAATTAATTGTTAAGTGAACACGCTAACCATGCAATCCCGCCATTTGGTCCAACTTACACACTTGATTTCTGCTAGTTGAAGCCTAGTTGAAGCCTATATCCATATAAGAAATCAGCTGTTTGGAAGCCAGCCGTTTGTATGTCACTCTTTATAATACGTACAGTTCCCGGGTGAAGAATCAAATGATATTAACTTCAAAACGTGCGTAAAATTTGGCCTCTCCATCAGCCCTGTCACTATTGCAGCTGCTACTACGCATATACGCGAGACAGACTCCACGCAAGTTCTGTATCAGCGAAATATTGATTGGAACACCAGGGTTTCATTGACAATACTCCAGACACCTAACTTGGAGATTGAGTTTGGTAAACTGCCATAATATCTATAGTACTGTCTCACGAACATTGCTGGAGAGCATCTTCTGTATTGCTTCCACTTCCGGTTGTGGAGGATTATGGGAGGATGCACTGCAGAAATTATCTGGACCGTAGGCCATATGACGCCATTTCACGTTTTTTTGACGTCAAAATTGATTACAGATTGGATGAAACCGACAGAAATGGTGTGTTTTGGAACGTTAATTGAATAATTTCAGAGCGGAAAATTACAAGCAATCAGTTAAAGTGTATTCTATTTAAAGTGCATCGGGTGTGATCACTTTAAAGCGAAGATTACAACCTGCTGACGTCACACAGTACCACCCTAAGCTCGATCGTTGCACATCTGTTGCTCAATTTTGATAAATACCCGATGTGAAATGATTTTCTCTGTCATTTTCCAGACCATTAATGTAGTATTCCATTTACTGGGTTAAACAATATTTTATTTACAAATATGCAGTACATAATATAATATTATACAGAATGTAATGTTAGGGATCTGGCAACAAGTGTAGGCTCTAATATTAAGCCATCAGCCAATTCCATTTACTATATAAGGACTTATTTTTTTCCATATAATTTTGTAAGATTATACAACGTAAAAGAAAGCAGTTAGGAGCATGACTTTTCGATAACTAACTACAGTTTTGTTTAATGTGTCATACTAAAATATGATTTATTTGATTGAAAATCTTTGATTAACAGATATGGCTTCCGAAAACCCATATATCTCCTTAAAATTTCCCTTTATGTAATAAACCTTTTTTGTATTTGATTGAAGTTGAAGAGACGCAATACTTAGCTTATCAATGTTGAGGGGTGTAAGGTCAGCATTTTAACTGAGGGTTTTAGTTAAACCTAAGCTAAGATAGGCACGTGCACTGGGCTGTTATTCTCTTCTTGTCTTATCAAACAAACGACACAGAGTTGATATTGTCGATTGATGGACTTCTTGATTTGTATTTGGTTTTAAATCACTCACTCACTAAATCAAATTCAGTTTTGAGCTTTCTTCTTCTTCTTCTTCTTCTTCTTCTTCTTCTTCTTCTTCTTCTTCTTCTTCTTCACTTAAAGTTTGTTTGGTGTTCCCTTCTTAATATTGTCTTCGGTAATTTACCCTTCTATTTTATTAATTTTCTGTTTGATCAAGTTGAGGTCCTCGTTTTGGTCATCTTAAATTAAAAAATGTGTGTGTTTGAATTAAAACTTTTTTATAACTAATAAATACCAATAATTTAAAGTATTCCTTTAATTTCTTTTTGTTATTTGCTTTAACGAAACTAGAAACAGCTTAACTATGGAACGATGTTTGTTTTTAATCTATTAAAAATGAATGCAAACAATGAATTTATAAGCATCAAAATCATATGTTTGTGCATTCTAAGAATGACAGAAAAGTGCTACATTATCTTAATGTTAAGAACTGCCACTTGCCGTCCTTACATTGTCGTAACAACGTGTCATCTCATTTAAGATGTGATGACTTATCATCAATACAACAACATTAAACTCGACCTTGATACATATAGTACAACAAACCAATTAAAGCCCCCCCCCCCCCCCCCCCAAGGATATTTATTACTATGTCCCTGCCTGATGTCAAATATACCTGGTATAATTTACTGCTACTCGATTTAATTTCTACGCTTTGTAAGCATTTCCCTTATTTGCATATGCCACTGTTTATTCGGCACAGCGTGTTTGCATACATTGTATAATTTATCTACGAGCTAGGCAGGTGTCGGACATCTTGCCACGTGGGCTCCAAAACCTGTTCGTTCAGTTTGTTTTCAAAAAGGTGGTGATATTTCAAAAGAAATAAAAACCTGAAAGACTTGATGTGATTTTAGATTGCTGTATTCAATGAAGCGCCAAACATCTCGTTCTGCGCAAGTGGGCAAGTATTGAAGACGACCATTAAGTATGACGTCTCCGCTTTGTGAAGTTGATATTTCGGAGCCATTCCGTGTTCCATTCCGTGATCTCATCCGTGTCGCTGGTAAACATAGACATGACCTTGGCTGCCTCGCGTACAAAACTAAAAGTGGGTAAATTGTTTACGACTTCTGAAGAATAATTTGAAGGTTATCTTGAACCGACTTGGCTCATAAAACATATACACTATATTAATCGATCAAAGTACATTTTGTATTTCATCTTAAGTAAATTGCCATGTCATCGATCTTGATCCCCGAGATACGTAAACTGATTATTGACTCGCTGGATCAAATTGTCTTGAAGCAGACTTTTCTACTGAATGACACGATACGATAAAATACTCTTGTTAGATTTAAAAAAGACAGACAGACATACAGACAGACAGGGAAAACAACAGACAGAGAGACAGACAGAGCATTTTCATCTTTTTATGTCAGACAATTTGAAAAGGAACAGGATATGAACAGGAGCATTGGCACGGTGGCTAACTGAGAGGATCAGACGATACCTGTCTGTAATATTTCTATGGTGGCTGATTTGTGCTATAACGTTATTTTTTTGCAGCGAAAAAGCGGTAGTTTTTGACAATTCGCCGTATTTAATATCTCCTTTTAGGAGCGAAATGCCATAAAATGCACCAGTCATGTACGTATATTACGCCCTTCTTATCATCGCCAATTCGCAGCAAAGTTAACGACAATATTTTTTCAACTGCTTTTCTTAACTGGGAGTTTATTTTGCTGAATATTTCATCGCCAATTGCAATATTGAACTTGGTAGGGAAATAGAGGTTTGTGACATGCTATGAAGAACAAGAAACCAGCTTTGATGTTTCTAACGAATTCAAGGGAATTGGACTTCCAAACCATCATAAAGAAGGCAACAGAGTTGACCTATTGGTTTAGAAAGCCCAATGAGATAAAGAAAATCGAGTTGAACCAACTGAAAGGTTTACATAGTAGGAAGAGGAGTGCGAAAGCAAGGAGACAGAAGAAAGGGAATAGAAACCATTTGAAGCAAAACCCGTATCCGTTTACAGCAGCAGTTCTTGATGGAAGAGGACCAGAACGACTTGAATTCATTAGAGAGGAGTTTGAACGACATTTAGGTGAGAATCACGAGGTTTAGCACCATTAAGAACCCCTAGGACCATGAGAGAGACTGTAAGAAGTTGAACTAACTGAGAAGCCCCAAGATGAAACGGAACAAGCATAAGAGGCAAGAGCTTCAACCGTGCCATGGACAAATGGGATGCCAAGTAAGATATATACGAAGTGTCCAAAGCTGTTACGGATCTAATGGCTCCTGCTTAAGATTATATAAAGAAAGGAGGAAATACTGGACTGCTTGAAGAGAGAAAATGGAGAACTTTAAAGAAAATCGGGCTTTTCCGAACGATATTCCTGCAGAATGTAGCAAGGGGTCAGGAATATAAACTTTTCAATGATAAAACGCGCCTTAACATGATGATGAATTCATTTTGTCGCAGAACTGTTGACATCTGGAACAGCCTGTCATTTGAGGTAATGCCATCAAGAACTATCAAATCTTTCGAAGATTGCCTATACCATCACTGGAGAAACAAACCGATACTCTATAACTATAGGGAACCAATTTTATTATCCACCCGTAGTTAAATATATGAACTAAATATACTTTCTGATAATTAATTATCAAATTAATGTTGTGAACACTAATTACTCTAATTGGGAATATATGTATAATTTCCCTTTCACCTCAAATATTAATGATTAATGTTATTCAAATGTCCATGCTCTTGTCAGAATTTGTTTAAACCGTTTTGAGCTGACAGCAGAGGATTTTTTTAAAGTCCTGCAGTCAGAATAATATCTGTGTATCTGTGAAATGATATAGCAGTTCCGGCAGGACGATTGATGTGACCCATGACATACAATGAGTAAGTCGACACGTATTAGCAGAAAGTGGTGAATACCAAGCTACTCAGGATGATTCTAGCACGTAAGCGGGATCACACAGGGCTACATGACATTATTCAACACGCCACCTAACATTGCTTTTAGAATCCGTCTATGATACCTTAGTAAGTCAGTTACTGTTTTAACATGTGAAAAATGATCGCAGACTCGGGGATGTTTTGTGTTGAAGACGAAAGCTTTGTAACCACGTGTTAATTAGTTGCTAGACATCAATCACCCAAGGCCTCTGCACATGGGAGCATCATCAGGTGCTGAGAGTGACCAAGGAGAAGGAGAGGAAGAAATCGAGAAAGGCGTAAAAATCTAAGACCACTTCATCCGGCTTCATGAGTGAAGGCGATACCCAAAAAACTGGAAGTGATCGGTATATTACTGAAAAGATAAGTCAAGCGACTTGTCAAGAGAGCTAAAAGGAGCTCCAGTTTGAATTGGATTTAAGAGAAGATTGTATCCAAAGGCCAATCGTCGGCGGACATTACCATTGTGGATCCCGTTGTGTTCCGACTAAGGTGCAAAAATGCCCAGGGAAAGATGTTTGGTTATTTCGGCACCGCAATAGTGTCTAGCCAACATAAGATAACATCAATATACTGTAAAAGTGGAAATGTTTGTGGTATGAAAATTATCGCGAATATATGTTCACATTAGTCTTTATTTGACAATGTGATATTGTCTGCCTTTTGCAATATACCAATTTTTAGTAATTCGTATCCTACAAACACACGTTTGCAAGGATCCGGTGTTATTTTGGGAAGTTACCGTTAATTAAAGATATAAAGATATAACATATATTAATCATACAATTGTATAGTCGTTTTATTTCTTTCGAAATTTTGTTTACTAATGTCGGAGTTGTAAGTACAATAAACAAAGAAATGTACCGAGTCTTCTGGTGCGATACAGTTCGTATTAAGACGGAGTTAACAAATGATATTTCTTAAAGGCCTGTTTCGATACAGCAATTATGAGACCAGGGCCAGTATCCATAAAACGGTTATCATGCTCAAGCACGGATTCTGTGCTCAAACCAATTTTATTGTAACTCAATAATCATGCAAAACGAACAAAAAGAAAACACATAACAAATATAGACATTGAAAACCGTATTTGGCTTCAAGTTATTTCAATTTTGTTCCAAGTCATTGACAAAATGAGAACTGTTTTTTATCAATTCATAACCAGAACAAATAGGGCTTGAGAACAAAATCCATGCTTGAGCGCGAGAATGGTTTCATGATTTTTGGACCCAGTTTTAAACTTATATTTATCATTCTTGTTGGCACAGATTGAAGCACAGATTGAGATGAATGTGGAACTTAACCGGAATACATGGAAAAAATCCGATCACCGTAGTGCCTGAAAAGCCCCCGAGGTCGGACAGGTGACTTCTTACGCCTGAACAAGAATACAAAATAATGTGTATATGTTAAAACAAATATAACACATCAAACAACTTTAATTATGTAGAATTTATTATCAACTTTTTTTTTTATTCAAATCTTTCCCTTGAATATTTTGATTGTATGTAAACACGCAAGCTTTATTTTATGATAAGCGAGTATATAGTTCGAAATATCATTATCTCAAACCCATTTTTATGTTGTATGAAAGTAAGCTAGAAAACGAAGCAGACGATTTTTATGGGTATAAGACAATCCTCACATACACATTAACTGTCATTTAGCCTGAACAGCTGACATTTATGGCGTATGTAGGGTTATCTCGGCAGTCTATTAAACTATAAACATGTTCTAGACGATAACAGGACTGATATTAAACCTATTTATGTTCGAAATCCATGGAGCGTGACTCCGACTTAAACAGGTCCTGGCTATAGCTTGCTAAACCGGTACATTCGCTTCTGATGTTATTATCAACTTTTGACAAAAATCGTTTTATAACGCATGAGTTACGTTCTAATGTATCTTTGTTAGGCTTTTCTATAACGTGATGTTCAACAGTAGATGATCCTGGTAATAATTATTGCTAACGAGTTGATTCTATTTAGTATTTTTAAATTAAACGTTTTAAAAAAGATACATTATAAATATGAAAAAAGGGAATGTTAACATAAAAAACTCTTAAACATTTCAGGAAGAACAAGACTATAGGTGTCCCGGTACTTGAGCTGTCTTTAGGTGTTTATTTGTAATGTATTAAGGGAGTTTCATAGGCAAGCCAAGATGGTTTTAAGGGATTAAAATGTACGTTGAAGCAGATGGAATACATAAAATACATAGCAGATCAATTAAGACCTTCAAGATTGGTTGTAATCGATTTACCCACTTAAGTGAGATTATGTAAATTTAGTTACAAAATATATCATAAACAATCGTTATGACGCCTATACTTTCATATCATAGATATAAAATATAGATTGTGTCGTCATTATATAATATCAGCTAAACATTTTTTTTTGTTATTGGTTTAAAGTGAAAACTTCAATTTGAAACCTTTATAATTATGGTCCTATGCATTTCAGAAATTTACATACACTTCTTAAAATACAAGAATACAAGTATTAATAATACATACCTATTCATTACCAACACTTGTTCCATTACGCTTTGTGCGCTTTTTACAACTTAGAAGTGTCTTTAATGACTTAATGTGATCGGTGTATATATATACAATATATCTATACCAGCATACTCTTTTGTCGCCATTTAAAAACAATGAAGATATGACATGACTTAGAACTAAAATGGGGAAATGTGCGTATGATAAATGTTATTGATATTTGTATGCATTACTAAAGCCGGTCTCTTAAGGAAGTCTTTTCATACTCTGGTATAAATGTTCTCTCCTCATTTCCTTATAATACTTCACTACCCTATCCTGGTGATCAAAGGGGAAATACTCTGATATATTTTAGTAATTTTACCTCGTCTTATTTTGTAAATGTTTTAGATTTATCGAGTAGTTGAGATCACACGGACAAAATTTAAATAACTGGAGGTCACTAATTTATACTATATAGCATGCTATGACATCATCAAGTTTAAGATACCTCACCAAAAGACAAAAGTCGATCAAAGGGAAATGTATATGCTTTGTTTTTAGTTTCAGTCGATCAAAAAAATATTGATTTCTTTTCATTTTTTGTTTGCATTCGGACTTTATGGTCTTATTGACATTCCTGGTCCACCAGGCTACATCTCTCTAAATATTCCATTCAAAAGTAGACGAACAGGTCGTTCACAATTAACAGAAACTTCACAAAATATTTTCTTGGTAAAAATAAATCTCTACAATGTATGAAAGGGAATAAGAGTAAATGAGATGATTAGATATCAAAGAATAAGTAAATCAATCTGTAAATCGCACATGGTAAAGCTCTTCATCATCGCTATGCACTACAAAATGTACTATCTTATATAAACGGTGGCATGATAAATTCATTATCATGTGTTGTCAGTATTAGAATACTCAAGAAGTTGAGAACGACTTGAGAACAACTTCAGAATGGATTTTCCCATTTGGGAATTCATTTTCTCAAACGTCTACTCGCGCCAGGCGGCGTTCTAAACCAGGAAAAGTATCCGCACAAAGGTGATCCGCGTAAGCAATAAAAAAAGGGGAAAATGTCAGAATGTCAGAATCTAGCTCCTGGATAAAATCTCGATTCCACCTACGATGGCCTTTCAATTCTATCCACGTACTCTCAAAGAGAAATTGGTTCTCACGACAAACCCTGAAAAAAGTGTAATAATCTTTAATTATATAGCAATAATCGTATACATTTAATTTCGTATATAATTTTAATCAAGACAAAATTATCCGGAATTAGTTTTGGTTTAATATAATCACACCACCTAACTTCTTTTTACAAGGGTGATTTTTTAAATGATAGATGTAAATTGGTGTTTTGAAGTCTTACCCTTCCTAAATATACAGCTGTGACATTTAAACCATACACAATTACCAAATAATCCCAAAGACACTATACTGATTACATTATGTGGGCAATATAATCTCCTATAAAGTATTTATGCTAACTTTATTGATTTTTCAATAATTATGAAATTAGTTATTAACTCATATTTATCACTCTTTTTGGTCCCGATGTAAACGAGCGAGGTCTTACTGTGGAAGGAAACCGGAAAACCCGTGGCGTCGGTTCATTCAGTTATCGTGATGATAAATGAGATAAATTATATACCAAAAAGGTATATTGACATATATGCCTAAGTTTAAACACACCATTGTAACGTTAGACCATTCTGTTGGCGATATTCTTCTAACGTTAGATCCGTCAAACTATCTGTTTTGAACTCATTCAGTAACTACACAATTATCATTTACCGTAAAAATAACACTATAGGGATTACATACTTTCTTCTCTGACATGGTATATGTTCCTGACATATCCGTCTTCCCATCCAAATCATGGGACAGTTATACAGTAGTTGTACGATTGTTACGATGTGTCACGTGTCTTGATTTAAAAATTGGTGTACAGTAGGCGTTTCACTTTCTCAACTCTGAATCTGCCAAACCCTGCCCACAGAACTCCTTCCCTGTCCACACAAAGAACCCATGGCCTTGCTATGTCCGTATGCAGCATTCGCAGGTACTGTCCATCACCGCTAAGTAGGTGTAGGCTGTTGACAGTGTCAGCAATCACCAGCTGTCCCAAGCTATCGTAAGCTACATCCGCGGCACAAAACTTTCCTGATTCACACTTGATGATGTGGTTTGGTCGTCCATACCTGAATAATTCTTTTAGACGTTTGTTCAGGACTATAACAGCTGGTTCTCCCTTACCGCCATCATCTGCCAGATCCATGTCAACTGCTGCAATATTCTTGCTGACTGGACATTGTGACATCCGCCATGGTGACTTTAGCAATGGATTCCACATGAAATACAGGTATGTTCTGCTGACGAGGCCTTTCTTCCCTTCCTTAGTGTACTCAGTGATTTTGTGTTTTGACCCAACAAGGACACAGTCATCTTTAGTAACACACAGACATCTAGGTTCATCTGTGGTTTTGAACCTACTGATCAGTGTACCTAATGTCAACTCCATGACATTGTATTCTTTGTTAGAGCATGCCCAGAGGTTGTGTGTAGAGGGGGAAATACAGATATCTGTAACCGGAACATGACTCTGTATCTTCTGATGTACGCCTCCTTGACTGGTCAGGTGTGTCACAATGTTACTTATCCGTCCACTCGTCCATGCACCATCATTACAAGTTGGGCAGATAGACTCAATTTCCGAAGAAACTATCGATTCTGAAAGCACTGTACTCTGTGCCAGAAGTGCGGACAGTGGTAGCTGATTGATTTTCATCTGTGGACTCTCCTTCTTGGATTGTTGCAGTGGAGGAACTTGAACTTGATGATCTGGTGTTTCTTGTGATTGGTCAGAGTCGATATCCTGTTGACATGTAGACTGATCTTCACTTTGTCCAGATTTGTCAACGATTACTTTTCCATATGCCTGCTCCAGCATTACTTTGCTCTTGACATTAGGGCTGAACACGGCGGAAGCAAGGATGGGTGCTGCATGTAGTGTAATGTTGGTCTGTAGTCTAAAGACAAAGTCAAACACCTGGATATCTGTGCCAGTTTTAAGGGCTTCATTACAATGTTTCAGTTGGTCCTTTAGTTCAGCAAGTTTCTGTTCGAGATCTATCCTGTAATTCTTGAGAAGGTTAGCATTTTCATCTTCTAGTTGTTTAATGTGAGAAAGCGTTCGGGCCATCAAAACATCAATATATTCCTTTAGTGTTTCACCTTGCTCTTTCATTTCTCTTCTCACACTCTCAAAATGACTCAAATCATTTTCAAGACTTTCCCGGGTAGAAATTATTTCCTGTTGAATTTGTCTCAACTCTTTCTGGCCGACTTCATCAATGAATATTTTTATCTTCCGTTTGTTGTCAGCAGTAGTTTCGCTCAGGTGAACGATGTCATGGCCCTTGTGTAAAGACGATACACACTTAGCACATATTGCATCACAGCATGTCTCACAAACCCAGTCTAAAATATTTCCTTTGTGGTGTGTGCATGTCGTCCGACCCAGGTCACGGACAGCTATCTGTCCCTTGTAGAAAGAGGAAGCCTTTTCTGCCATTTGTGATGGGGACACTCACCTGGTGAAAGCCGCTATCTCATGATGAAATACTGTTCATCCTTATTGATCAGCATTCATCCTATGAATAAGATTATAACATTATTAAAAATCACAAAATTATACCTTTCACACACATACACCATTTTGGCGTTCAGATAAACATGATAGTCCTATCATATGACCTTCATGCTTAAGATTCATCTGTTCTTTACTTCAAATTACTTTTTATTTTGAAAATGTTCAGCGCATATCGGAGTTACCAGCGGTTCAAGATATTTATTCATATAGGACTTATCATGATTGATGTTCACTATCCCACATATGCAATGTTATGTTTATTTTCTATTTTTGAATTCTATTAAGCGACCAGTGTGATTTGCAATCGTTACAATTTTACAGATATAGTTTTTGTAACACTAAGGGAAATAAATGTGACTCTTTATGTAACAGAAACTGGTTATGCTAAACTAATTGTTAAGATAGCGAAGTCTTTGTTCCATTGCACAGTATTGGCATTTGTATTGGCATTTATATACAATATATCCTACTTGTATGTGCCTGAGACTTGTTTATTACCACGCAAAACCCTGTTTATGTCACACAAAGTTAGATATGAATTAGTCTCACACAATAACAATTACAACAATATATAATATTTTCAAATTTTGTTTAAATTATTTTTCTTGTCCATTTTACTATTCCTAATGTTTACACGAAGACAGGAGTGACTGCCTTTGTATTAACGATTATCGCTACTCTAATACTCTGTGTGTGAGATAATAACATATCAAGCTATAGTCAACACAGTTAATAGTTATAATTCTTCTTGGTTCTCTGTGTTTGGCCATAGAGCAGCCCTAAACTACACAAAGTAATGTTTCACTGATCAGCTTTAAATTTTGTCCTGTCGAAATTGGATTTTAAATCATATAAAATGTTTATGACATTGCGTCTTAATGGAATCGTGTTAATATGCTCTACATCGATTTTTAATCGTTACAACAAGAAGTACAATTATACATGTTGAATTGCTTAAACAAACCCGAAAAATAGCAAGAACTCATATCTAAAATTTGTTTTTAAGCAAGCATTAAATGCTGGTTTAATAATTAGAAGAAAAGATACCTACTTCTAACACGGAATGTCCTGTTCCCTCCACGTATGTACACATAGCTTGGGCTGTAACTTCCGGCAAGGAACACGCTACGTAGTTACCCCCCTTTTTGAGGGAGCGCAACACGGTTATCAGAATAAATGGAAAAGTAGAGGGAAAGTTAAACGTTAAATGGATTTAAAAACGATAGTATATGTTTAATGATGTTGCAATTTTTATTTTATGTATTACAGTTCAATTATTACAACTTTGTATAGCAGTATACATGTGTTCTTCACCTGCTCCAAGCCACCTACTGCTATATTGGGCTTTTGATAGCGAGGAGCTGGATTTATGGTGAGTCTGGTGAAGGTGAAACACATAAGCACCAACAGATTTTAATAAATGATTTAAGAAAAAAGATAATAACATGACGTCAAATAAATTTACAAACGGATAGTGTATGAAAGTTAATGAGGTGTTGAGAGCCCTATACTAGAGAACACTATTTGGTTTAGGAGATTTAATCCCCAACTATTATCAACATGCTGGAATATATATATATACATGTTAGTTTTGCTTGCAAAAATAGCAAGAACTCGTATATATATATATACAGTATATATATATAAAATGCTAATTTGAGGGGGATATCTAGGGAGAAGACGCAAATTAGTCTACTACTATTAAAGTCTCACACCGGACAATATACTAATAGGTGACTCGAAACATCTTCCGATCTAGTAACCAATTAATTGGTCAATTTTGTAATCAAACAGAAATACCAGATATAGATTTCTTTAGCAATAATCTATTTAGAACGAATTTACGCTTCATATATATTAATCAACACGATAGTTTACTCAAGTACTTCAAGTTCCGATCATATTAACGAAGGAATTGCATACATTTTGACATGAATAAAAATATTTTATTGAAAACATCGGTCAGAATAAAAAATGGATACAAGTATTTCTACTCAAACTCAGAGACGCTAATGTTGTTCTTTAGAAACATAATCTGATCCACACACTTATTCATGGGTAATTACACTTTTTTGAATGTTTCACTGATGCCATTTACTTGTGTACTCTATATTATTTTACGTCCCACCCTTAAAAATGAGTCTTATTATGTTAAACTGGTATTTTATAACTTTGCATTCTGGCTCCCTTTAAAAGTCTGTTCATGCTTTTTATGGTGTGGTCGGCATCTCTTTGTCAATCTCACTCCACTCTAAAAAACACCATAATTATCAAAAATAATATAAAAATATTGATAATTATTTATCTTATTGTATAAACTTTTATATCTTTAGGCTCCTATAATAATAGTATTGTGTATAAATAAATATAAACTTTGAAATCATTTGGAGTAATGTTCTTAACTATTGTCAAATAACGAACTAGCGGTAATACATGATTATATCCCAGAGGGAATACTGAGTTAAATGACAATATACTTATTCGCAAATTTAATAATTCGCGAATTAAAAATGTTTTGCGAATTATAGAACTTCACATAATCACTAATCATTAAAATAGAGTCCTCTTAATCGATAATTCAAGTACACATATTGGTCAATTTAACTAACGGTCAAAGTTAAATTAATTACACGCAAAAAGAAGGTGGTTTAATGTATATAGGACATTCCAGATTATTTTCAAAACCATTTAGGACTTACTCTCCTGAGATATAAATTCGGACAGTAGGCTTTATTACACGAATATTTTCAAAACTACTGTAAAGATTACTTACTTTCTAGCGGGGTCGGGTTTGAATCATGACAAAAAAAGGTTGTAAAATACATTTCTTGTGGGTAACTAGGAGTTATACAACAATAATTTAATCTTGCTTGTAACAAGCATTTTCATTGGCTTAAAAATGTATTTGATCATCCCATAACGTAAAAAAATGACGTCGCCGTTTTTAACGTCGCTTTTGATTGGCTGATACAGCAGCGCAATAATTTCTAAGAGAAAAGAGTCCATCAATAAAAGTGGATTTCCACAGGGATTGTGTATAGTAGATTAAATTATAAGGATTAACTTGAATATGTTTTTCATGTTATGGAGATATAACACAAAAAACGGAGTGTAGTCTAAATAAAACGCGAAGCGGTTTATGATGAGAGTACACTCCGGTTTTTTGTGTTATACTTGAATATATTTTTCATGTTATGGCGGTTTATGATGAGAATACACCCCGGTTTTTTGTGTTATAGCTCCATAACATGAAAAAGATATGCAAGTTAATCCTTAACTATTTTAGCGATTTATGACTTATTGTGTTCCTAGAAGAGGTTTAGTATTACCTTCCGGTTTTTAATATAACAACTAACAGGTTTCTAAAATATTAGTTGATTGTTTGTATCTCGATAGTGATGTCAAGTATTTATCTCGAGAATTAAATCAGATTCTGGCTCTTTTGACACGAGACACCGGAACTTGTAACAAGTCAAGGCATGAAAGTAAAGAAAAAGGCTAAGTCTGTATTAAAATGTTTGTTGTAATTGATAATATTCACGACAATATTTTCATTATTCGAGATGTTTTAAAACAATTTAATAAATTTGTCAATATTTTAATGAAAACATACTAATATTTGCTGTTTAAGTGGGTTAAATTGGGATAAATCTGGTTAATGTACCATGTCAAAATAGACAAAATACAAACATGTAGACAACGATAACCAGGAAAACGGAAACAAGTGGTTTCATAGACTCCATTTTTTATAAACAGTGGAATATTTCTTATCAAGAAGAGGTTTTTGTGTTTCATCTCATGGTCTGTGTTCTCAACTTTGAATATATCTTTATGCCCTTAGTGCAAATCTCGTTATGGCAAGGTAGACAACTCTGATTGCCTAGCGCTCGTTTCGTAAGACATTCTATGGTTGTGTTTATCATATCACAGATTGTTTTTATTTTTTCTAGCAGTTTGTTTCGGTCAGTATCAAAATCTCAGTTCCATATAACTACATATTCACTTCAACAAAACTGTAATATTGATAATTATCAACTTAACAAATACTCATATCCTGAACATTACATGTTAAGATACCACGTTTGTCACTGTCCAGTCAGAATGATACTTTCTATTCACTGCATCCAAAGCCGTAGATTTTTAGATGCAGATGAAGCGACGGTAGAATAGGTACTGTATACCGGGAAATTTTTGCCCAGTTATCTTTTGCCCTCTAGCAAAGAAATACATTTTCGCCCTGTGTTAATGTCGCCTTTCACTTTAAATTACTATGAATGCTTTGTTATCTACTTATATTAATTCGACCTCATTACAGAAGGCGAAAAAGGCGAAAATTAGCCTGCAGCGAAAAATTCCCGGTATAAGGTAGTTGTTTTGATGTTCTTTGCTATATAAACTACAGTATTAATGTTGCAATTGATATTATTTTGCTGGTAAATCATATCAGATAGTAGCTGCAAAAGGCAGTTTTGCGTGGAGTAACTTATTTAAAATTACGCCCAGAACTTGTGCAAAGCACGGTTTCTTTAAAACCTGGCGTCAAATACTATGCTACTACTTACTGAACTTTTTTGGGAGGCAATACTTTTGTCATCTTACTGAAAAATGTAATAAGAGAAATTCAATGGCTTTCTCTTTGAGTTCCATTTTTTTCACGAGTATACAGATACCATTAAACCATTACATGTCCTTTATATATTACAAAGTTTTAGCAAAATCGGAAATGATGAAATGGGTATATATTACATGAGTCAACTTTCTAATTACTTGTTACTTCTGTAATACACAGGTGGTATTTCCCATTAATTCAAGCGGTAGGAATCCGGGTTCAGTTATTGGAAGTTACACTTTGAGAAAGTGACATTGTCGCCTATAAAGGTACTTGTGGGATTTAAAGGACTATTATCAGTAGGACATGCCTAACCGCGCACATAGAAAATGTTTCTCTGAAACCTCTTCATAGTGGATTTGTTGAAGAGGAAGATCGATATATTATCCTTGTTTGTTATTTATATCTCGAGAGTAAGGAAGAGAGATTTTTTTCTCTTACACGTGAAGATTGACTGGTATGTATTAAGAAAGCGGATGCAAGTTCAAATTCCGAAATAAGCACATAACGTGGCTGTTTAAAGAAATGTTTTGGTCATTTTGAGGGCTTGATGAAATTAGTTGTGTTGTGCAGACAAAATTTATAAACTGTGAAGCTTTTAATTTCTTCAGTTGTTTTGTCACTAATACCAACTCATTTTACTATCCGACGTAAACAAACATATATATATATATATATATATATAAAACATGAGTGTCTTACAGCTGTTGATACCTAGAGCTTGTGTAAGTCTATCATAACTTTTTTTAAATATACCAATTTTTAAATAAATACACAAACAAATATCTGCTATTACAACTGCCCGATTCTAATAAGACTATGTATCCTAATACACAAACCATTGATTTTAACAGTGATTTGAATCTTTCATTTAATGATTTTATAATGTTTATAACAAAAACCTCAAAAACTTCAGAAGTCATATTAATTTCAAGAACTTTTGATATCGGGGAAGAAATCTTTAATAATCATCGCAATCATTTATGAGTTTTTTAATTCAAATTGAGACGGGTGTTGTCATGTTTGAAGAAATCAAAAGATTACCTTACTACATGTACAAAACCGTAAATTAAACTAAAAACAAAAATATTCGGAAAAATAGGATAGGAACAAAGGAAAGACAAACACAGATACCTTTTAACTTTATTGTGTTTTAAGACATAATAGAACACTATTTTCCGAAAGGGTAATTGTCCTCTGTGTTATCGACTTGACGCGCCTTGTCAGTTTAGATCAAACCATAAATTATGACACATTCTCAAAGCGATCACCACGACAGTGACAATGGAACAAAAAGGAACGATAATGACCTTACACAAAAACGTCTACACTGGTCTTAAAAAGACTGAAATACTACAAGATACTATAAGATTCTATCAAAACTATTTATTTTAAATAAGCGTGCGATTTATTGGATGATTGAGCAAGACATGGGCATGTACAGACAGAGAGTGTCCAAGGAGAAGCTACATGTACATGTATTACAACAAGACATTTCGCGTATGCCATTACCGATGATTTATTTACTGAAGCAAGTTTATTATCTATTTTTAATCGAGGCAAAAACGAAGAAAACTCCCAGTATTATATTACGTTTCAAACATTTAAACCGTGGATAACTTAAATTACCTCTATTATTTGGGTGGAAATCGTTACGACTTCAAATACCACAATGACTCAAGAATTACGTGTTTTGAACATTCCAACGCAGTTCTACTTTACAACATTTTCCTTAGTAGTTGGAATTCATTGACACATTATGCACAATCGGTTTTTTTTCTAATGTTCCCCAACTTCAACTTCTTCACGGTTTTGAAAATTGAATTTAACATTTTACATGAAAAAGACTTAGAAATTCATGTTTTATGTTGGGTATAAACCGCATATTGTTATTTTAGAAATGCGTTTGAAAGTTATTGCACTCTAAGTGTCATCTTTGTCCTTCCATGATGACATAATCTGTAACAAATTTTGAAAGGATCGGATCCTGACTTTAGTTTAGAAACATCGTTGTTTGATAATAAACATCTTTAAGTGGACATTTCAGTAACATTTGTATTATGAAAATAAATTTCAAAGAGGGCTATAAAAGACTATCCTGAAGAGGGATAAAGACGATTTACTGCAGAAATTTTCGGTTGGAATCAAAATAGCACGATAGAAAAACAATATTATCCTGAGTTATAGAAGACTTCTTTCTTTCTGGAATTGGCTCGTGCACGGCACTTTATTGAATGGACAGAAGCACCAGGAAGGAATCAATCAATTGTTCAACTATTATTGATTTTACAAAATAAAAATAAATTGAATTAAGATGATTGATGAGTGTCACATCATGAATAACAAAAATGGGTATTTGAGTTTTCGTTGCCCTTGTCAACTGTTGGATACATTCGGAAATATGTATATATGCTACGATATAAGCAGTAATAACATCTTGCAAGAAGCAAATATTCAATCTGTCGGCTTAGCAACTTTCCCTCGGCTCACACGGAACTTTCCTTTGCGTAAACAGTTATGCCGAAAGATGTAGAGGGATCTTCTCAGAACTTCGTGTGTGAGGCTTCATTGAATAATATGGTATGCGGATGCAAGGATGTGTAACGCATGAGTACCCTCAAAGATGCTAGAACACATCATAGTTTCGCAGATAATGGACCACCTAGACAGACAGAACATACTACACGAAAATCAACACGGCTTCCGAAGAAAACGCTCCTGCGAATCACAACTATTCCTCACCACAGACGACATCACTCAGCACATCAACAACAACAAGACACAAGTAGACATTGCAATTCTAGACTTCGCCAAGGCATTCGACAAAGTCGCACACCAACGACTCTCATCAAAACTACACCACTACGGGATACAGGGGACCACACAGAAATGGATTGGCAACTTTTTGACAGATANTGAAGACCACGAGAAACTACAACGCGACCTCAACACACTGTGTCAATGGGCAGACACCTGGCAGATGGAGTTTAACGTGAATAAATATGCCATTATGCAAGCCACCAACAAGAATACAACACAACACTACAACTACCAGATGAAGGGACAGACATTAGAAATAGTAGAGCACCACCCATACCTAGGAGTAGAATTAGCAAGCAACTTCAAATTCAACACACACATAGACAACACCATCAGCAAAGCCAACAGAACACTAGGATTTTTGAAGAGGAATTTAAGACACTGCCCACAACAAGTAAAAGAGAGAGCATACAAAAGCCTTGTCAGACCAAAACTAGAATACAGCACCACAGCCTGGAATCCACACACAACCCAACACATCAACAGGATAGAACAGATACAGAAAAACGCAGCAAGATTCGTACTAAAAAAGCCCCTCAACTACAACAAACCTGACAGCACTACACAGATGATAAAGGACCTCAGATGGAATACATTGGAACACAGACGCAAGATAACGGACATCATATTTATGCACAAGATTCTACACCACCACATAGCAGTACCAACCAACTACCATCCTACCTACTCCACCGTCACAACAACAAGGAACAGCCACCCCTACAAACTCTACACTCCGCATATGGCAACCAACGCATACAGACATTCTTTTATCCCCCGCACCATCACAACATGGAACCTCCTGCCACCCAGCGTCGCCAGCATCGAGGACCTGGACGCCTTCAAGGCGGCAGTCAGGGGAGAGGTGGAATAGACTTTTCCGATTGTATATAGTTTTAACCGCACAAAGGCTCCACACTGCACGGATGTACATAGTCACCCTTGACGTGATGACCATACATGGTTTTTGTCGAGTAAAACATTGAAGTTGAAGTTGAAGGAAAAGAAGCCATATTCAAAATCATTCAAATATTACTACAAGAACATTGATATATGTGTGCATCTTAATAACTTTAACTTTAAAATAAAAAATGACTATATTTTTTAATCCAAATATTCGCGTTGTTTTATTTTGTCAGTTTAATTTGTCAGGCTTTTAAAGGTAAACGTTAATGAATATGAATGTGACTAATCAAGTGCAAGATTTAGATTGAAGTAAGGGTTATGTAGAGGAAGCACCAGCTTAACTTGTGATCAATATTAATGTTTGACTGTTACGTGACATATATATACAAGCCATTCGGATTGATATGTCTCGCCTATGCCCCGCTTTGACAATCAATGCACATATCAGAGAAACTAACTTAAACGCAAAAATCTAATGTTGATCGAGATGCTGACAAAGTCAAAGGACCATGAAAGGTATGCCGCATCCAGCAGTTGATGCTTGGGTTGAGATGTACTACCTAAGATGCATCTACGGTCCACGTTTGGTTGATGTAGCACTTATGAAACTAACTTAAACGCAAACACTTAATGTTGATGGAGATGCTGACAAAGTCAATGGACCATGAAAGGTATGACGCATCTAGCATTTGACGCATGGGTTGAGATGTAATGCCTAAGATATATGTACGGTCCACGTTTGGTTGGTGTCGCACTTATACTTTCAGAGAATCTAACTTAAACGCAAAAACTTAATGTTGATAGAGTGTTGACAAAGTCAATGATCCATGAAAAGTATGCTGTATCCAGCATCTGATGCATAGGTTGAGATGTACGACCTAAGATGCATGTATGGTGCAATTTTGGTTGGTGTAGCACGCACTTATACTTTTAGAGAAACTAACTTAAACACAAAAACTGAATGTTGACGCCGTCGCCGCCGTCGCCGGAAAAGCAACACCTATGTCTCGATTGCACTTCGTTGCGGCGAGACAAAAATTGCACATGACCCTAAAAGTTCTTCGTTGTACCAGTAGCGATGAGTATCCCCTTCCTGACATAATAATATACTTGTATCATAAAGAAAGAAAATATTAAGACCTAATAGGACTTCAAATATTTATTTATGAAACACAGCATTAATAGTGATTCGTAGTAAATTATTTTATATGAAAATATTTACAATTAAAAAAACTTAATGTTTACAGATTGAATATAATAGTTTTAAAATAGTTTTCATTCGAAAAATTAAAAACCGTTCTATATCTTGGCTAATTTTCTGGCATTCACTCAATTTGTCTTTATATCTCAACTGGCATTTATCTCATACTTAAACCTCAAAAGTGGGCCAAGGTCAAATATATGTAACGGACTTAATTAAGCTATGTACAAATATCATTACCTATGTTTCTTGGTTATTCAAAGAACCGATTTATAGATTTTAACATAACAATATCATTTAATTTAAAAAGAATTAGGTCTACTAATTCACTTGAACTAACCTGGTAGCCCTTCATCCCAGTATGCTTCTGGCCAAATACACCATACCGAGGCTTAGTTGGTAATTCAGACGAGCTTATTGTAAGGTATTCAACACATCTGAACTTTGTCTTCTTGAAAGTGGGGCATGGAAATAAATTCATTCAAACAACTTTACCCCAGTATCTTTAAATATATATCAACATCACTATAATTCACAAAAGAAATAGTGCTATATATTCGAAAACTACAAGCTAATAAGATGACTCTGGACCTTTAACATCTTCAGAGGAAGGTGTTTGAAGCTTCGACATATTTCACCCTGTGACATTGAAAGTCAAGGTGATGTTTATTTGCGACATTGTTGTGCTCATTCCAAGGAAGGTTCATTTATAATATCTTGAATCATGCACGTTCTGTTCTTCAGAAGAATTCGTATGAATTTAATAACCCTGTGATCTTTCAAATAAGTCGAAGTCATTTTTATTCTCAAACTTAGCTTATCCCAGGGAACTTCGAGTGAAATGTCCTGACCCAAAGCCTTTCTGTTCTTTAGAAGAAATTGTTTCAAAGAACAGTTTTAGACGACAGTCGCCGCGACAGTGCAAACATAACATGACATAAGTTCACCTGTATTTCAGGATTTGAGCTATACAACGATATTAATAGAGGATTTAAATTATTTGAATTATACTTTATAACTGATGGAATTCATAGAAAACAGAGAATAATGCCATGTGATTATAATGAATTCATCCAATCATTTAAAATTTTCTCAAATATGACATATTATAAACTAGGAAGTTTGGATATCTTAAGGAGTTATATCATCGGTATACATCATTACCAATATATTCAATATAATTTATATGTCTTTTATTGAAAAGGTAAGGTCATAGAATGTTGTTATTTGTAAATTCTAAAAATATATTAACGAACGATATTTTTGATAAACTTTGGTTGGGAAATGTTAATTTGAATGATCACATTATTATGGGCAGTATTTGCAGAATACTTTTTACTCCTTCCTTTCAATATACAAGAAGTGATTACTTTATGTGACACTTGTGTATTGTATCAAAGTCTTTGTGCTGTTTGACATATGTACTATGCATTAAAATGTGATAAAATATAGAGTTTAATTTAAACATAGTGCACTATACACGTTTCACCTTTTGATCAGAGCCGAATTAACCAATCAATGGCCACAGAGCTCCCTCCGTGTCAACACATACAACCCGGGGACTTTCTATGTCAGTGTGCAGCAGTATTCATTTTATACGAAATGTGTGGTCTGTCATCTGTCAAAGTAATGCTAAGTCTATTTACTTCAGAAAAGAGACTTAAGCATTTGTGAACTGTAGACGTTTCACATTTCCGTTATTGTAGACTGCTTCCAAAACGGCCCAAAGAACTCCTTCCGTATCAACACATACAGCCCGGGGACTGTCTATGTCGGTATGCAGCAGTCGCAGGTATTGTCCATCACCACTCAGCAGATGGAGGTGTTTGTTTGTATAGTCCGCAATCACCAGGTGTCCTAAACTGTCGTACGTTACATCATAGGGATCAAAACTCCACAAATCAGTGCCACTGTTGTGTTGTGATTCTCCATACCTGTATAATTGCTTAAGCTGTCTGTCCAACACAATGACTACAGGTTTGTCCTTACCACCATCTCCTTTCTGATCTCTATCAACTACAGCGACATTGTAGTTGATTGGGCATTGTGATATCCTCTGTGGTGAACACACTATTGGTTTTCTGAAAAATGATGTTTTGGTAGTGATAACGGGCTCCCCTCCTAGAGTGTACTCGGTGATTTTGTGTTTTGTTCCCACAAGGATATGTTCATCCTTTCTAACACACAGACATCGGGGTTCATCCTTTGTGCTGAATACATGGTTCAGTACACCTGATGCATGTATCAGCTCCGTAATATTTTTATCATAATCACAACATATCCATAGATTGTGTGTAGAGGGGGATACAGAGATATCTCTGGCCAAGCCAAACGTGTGCATCTGCTGCTCCATAGTTCCTTGGCTGTTAAGGTGGGTTACTTTGCAGATGTTATTTATCCACACACTACCGCCACTTTTGGGACATATGGGTGTTATGTTACCCTGATAGTTCCATTCTGATAGAATCTTCATGTGTCCAGATGGTGGGGTGGTTACTTTTTCAAATGCAGCACCCAGGATTTCATTTCTTCTGTTGTATGGGACGAATAAGGCAGAACCTGCATATGTTTTGTCAAGGCAGGTGTTAGTGGTCTGAAGTTCTTTTTCCAGGTCAAACACCTGGATATCCGTGCCAGTCTGTAGAGTTTTCTTACATTGCTTTAGTTGCTCTTTAAGGTTTGCAAGTGTTTTCCCGAGTTCAGTCTTGTAACTGGTGAGGGCCCTACGTGTCACTCCTTGCGTGCTTACCTCTTCTGCAACACTCTCAGAATCGTTCAAGTGTTTATCCAGACTGTCCTGTGTAGAATTGATTTCCTGTTGAATTTCAATCAGCTTCTTCTGCTCCGTTTCATTTATAAATGTTTTGATCTTACGTTTGTTGGCTGGAGTAACTTCGCGTAGTAGGGTAGTGTCATGATCTTTGTGTGAAGTGGACACACACTTGGCACAGATGACGTCATTACAAGTCTCACAAAACAAGTCCAAAGTTTCGCTTTTGTGATATACACATGTAGTTTGACTCTTCCCGCGAACAGCTATCTGTCCTTTATAGAACGAAATCGCATTTTCTGCCATTTGTTCTGGTAATTTCTGAATAATTTCAAAATATCGTTATTTCATATGTATGTTACTACACAAGTAATCGGGGCCTCCCAGTCTATGAATGTTACTGACCTCTCGTGATACAATGATCATCCTTTAGTCTTCAGCTTCCTCTGAATTTTCAGCGTTCATTCTATAAAGAAATTATAAGATATTTGATTATCACAAATATCCCAAATGTATATGCACTGAACGTTTCATCTTCAGATGAATACTAATTGCTTATACGTCCTTGACACTGGTCATGCAAGATTATCTTGTAATCGCTGGTGAAAAGTTGACGCCCGTAGCTACAGTTACTCGCAATGACCATGGCGCAATTCACAAACGGCAACATTTTTATGCAAAAGCCACACAATAACTTTATTTCATGAAAGATATTGAATGCAAGTTTTTGATGCGTTTTCCATTTTATGAATAGTTTTTTGAAGTAGATACCGATTTTTTAAAACTAACGTTGGATGTTGATAAATGCATATGTCAATATCTAAATTACACACATCTCAATACGTGTATAGATTTAAGATATGTTGTTATTTATCTAGGTTTGTTATATTTACTGTCATTCTAATGCTGCTTGGAAACAGGAATTTTGGAGTCATGTAACTCAACATATGTTCCTTGCGCCATCTTGGATGTGAGTAAGTGCAGTTCCAACATCAATTTATCCCAAGTAATAAATTAATTAAATATGTGTGCTTTTTGTTTTGGCAAACAAAAGCGACTAACATTTTTGTTTATCCATTGCAACATTTCGGACCTATAAGTTTTCATTTTCATTTCCTAACACTTCTCTGGCAATACCCCGCTTTTTGCCTCGGGGTAGTGTGTTTACCCAAGCAAGAAATGTTATGAGCGTTATCACATGGAGGTAAATACACAAACTTACCGCTTCCCAGAACGCACACATACATTACACACATCAGATGGAGGCACATCCTTAAATGACCTAGATTGTTTATAGGACGATAAAACTAAACTCGTTAAACCAATCCTACCTAGATTCATTAAACGTTTGTATACAATTTCCTAGAACTCTTTGCGTTATTTGTTAATCTGCCCAGATGTCCCCTGTTCTTGTACGCTTCCCCGTATGGCGGCATTAAATACAATTAAATACATTTGAATATATTTCACACATAAGTACTACACCACCATCACTAACAATGACAAAGTATAAACATACCTGTAATGATGTAGGCTTGTCGTCTCTTCCAGTCGAGGCTTGCAGGTGTTTACAGGTAGACAAACCTGGCCATCTCTGTCTACCCGGCCAAAGTTATGACGTATGTACATTCAGTGAAGCTATTTAAAAGCAGCTTTTTGCACAGTTGACTTAACTCTACTTCTTTGGTCTCAATGCAACTTATACTAGCGGAAAAAAGAAACTGTGCATGCGGAGAATTGTTATAGAACATGTATTACCAACTGTATATACATGAAATTTCACACACATGACCGAGTATGACACATACATACTATCCGTGTGTCATTGACAGTTTTTCCCGTGCAGTTTGCTCTCTATAGGCGTTGACCAGTTTGCACGTTTTTCTCGTCCAGCCATCCAATTCGACAATGAAAGTTTATTTTTCAACTGTTGGGTCACTCTGTTGAGACCAGTGAACAGTAAAAACAGCATTATAACTTTTTAATTTGTGATTAATGCTATGCCGAGGCTCAATGAAAATGACCGCCTCCGGATTATTGGTATGCTTCAAGCTGGTATGGGCCAAGCCGTTGTCTCTACACGTTTTCATGTCCATCGAAACACATCCGGGATTTGTGGAGACGACATCAACAGCCACGTCGGCGATCGACCTCGTGCGGGACGTCCACGTGTGACGTCACGTCAACAGGACAACCATATTTGGCTTGTCCATTTGAGAAATCGCTTCCAAACGGCAAGTTTGACTGCACGAACAATCCCTGGGTTGCTACCAATAAGCCCGAGAACTGTACGGAACCGATTGCGTGAACGAGCTATCCGTCCGCGACGTCCTGCAATCCGCCCAGTTCTTCTGCCACGTCATCGTGTAGCACGTCTGGACTGGTGCAGAAGGCATCTGCGATTTACTCGACGGGATTTGGCAGGCATTTTGTTTACGGACGAGTCGCGAGTCCACCTTGATAGTAGTGACGGCCGTTCCAGAATGTATCGTCTCGTTGGAGAACGTTTCCGTGGCGCGTGTGTGGTACAACGACGTTCTTTTTTTATGTTATGATTTGGGGCGGCATCACAGCCAACGGGAGAACGCCTCTAGTGGGTGTTAACTGGAATTTGAACGCGCTACGTTACCGTGACGAGATCCTCCGGACTCACGTCGTTCCATTCGTGCAAGGGCAGCAACGTCACATTACGCTACAGCAGGACAACGCCTGGCCACACACAGCTCGTGTTGCTATGGACTTTCTGGCCCAGCAGAACGTTGACGTGTTGCCCTGGCCTGCTGTATCCCCCGATCTGTCGCCCATTGAACACGTCTGGGATGAAATGAAGCGCAGATTACGGGCATTACCTAATCAACCGGTGACGTTGGCTGATTTGGCTGCAGTGGTGGTACAGATCTGGAATGCCATCCTACAAGCATTCTTGAACCGTCTGATAGGCTCCATGCGTCGACGTTGCCATGCTTGCATTCAGGCAAACGGTCCCTGAAAACCTTGTTGTTCTACGTCATACACATTTATTTTTATAACACATTTTAGGCATGCACAGTTTCTTTTTTCCGCTAGTATATATAAGACTTATCTACTGCCAGGTAGGGACAGATTGTGACAACAAACCCTTGATATGTACGCAATTATCTTTCACATTTGGAAACCAGACATTTCTATGTTACGCTTTCTATTATGTATGTAACACAATGTTTATTTTGTGTTCGATATATATATATAGATAGATACACGTAAGAGTTCGTGTGTATATTTTACCTGAAAGTACACATGTTTGTGACGTCATTGATTGTGTTGGTATTTTGGCGTACTCGTTTTGTGTGTTGCATGTTCGTTACTAAATCGATTGGTGAGAGTTGTTATTCAGTCAACTGACCAATCGCAGCACTTGCTTGACCATTTAACTTGTGTTTTAAATTGACTCTTATCCGACACACAACCGACTGCATACTGTACTTTCAACTTACATTGGAAGAAGTCCTTTGTTCACAGCATCCTGGTGAGTGCGTCGCGTTAAGTATTTTTATTATCATTCACAGCGCGACGAAAAACTGAACTTTATCACCGGGAAAACGTATGTGTGATGGTGTGAAAGATATATTTGTTGTTTATGTGTAAAGTTATATATGTATATTTCTTATTTATAGCTTCTTTCGAACCAACAAAATAAAATATCAATTGTGAAACGAAACCCAAACGAGAAAGGAGTGTTGTGTGAAATGTATAAAGCGTTATTTGTATTGGTTATCTAACAAACCGATCTTGAAGTACTTTGACAGAACAAAACTAAATAAAGTTGACAGAATAATTATAACTAGACTAAGTTTCGGTACCTGATAAAGCTCTACACGATCCTAATTTCAACGTAGACAAGGACTACCCGCACGATAAAAAACAGGATAAACATCAAGCAGTTAGCGAGTTCTTATAAAACAACTACAGCTTATATTTCAGGAGTGAATGACTCACGTTCAACAGGTCTTGAGCTCGTACCCCAATGATATGTTACAGTCTTCATGTTCTGACTTCGAATTTCAACGGAGAATATTAACAGAATATTATGAAGATTTGCATAGGAAAGATATTAAAGGCTATTGATTTCATATAGCGATAGAGACGTCGTAAAGGACTTACTCAGATATTATAGGCGTTGCATTCGAGAGGTTTGAATACAACTGGTAAGGGTTTATAACACGTTTCCAGAAGTTATGGTATAGTTTCAAGAGCAGTTTGTTAGGTTTGTTGACTGAATTTGTGACTGTAAGCTGTTACTGATGAATTTGTCTTCAGTTTAACTCATTTAACCACTTCATGAAATCGGCCATATCAATACAGAATGATTTAATTAAGATTACTTGTTTATACCCGTATCTTGTGTATGGTACAAACGTAGACCTAGAATGTTGTTTGATTTGTTTAGATTTGTTAGACACTTCAAGACCATGTGTTCCGGAAATATTGGTGTCTTGTGCTTTATCGTTGACACTTGACCTGTATGACAGTTATTAATTACTACTTTTAAATCATCTTACTAATTATGGTATAGTTGTGCAAGGCATGATGTCTCATAAAAGACGGTTGTTTTTCGCGTTGCTACGGCCGTTGTCATAGACGCGGGTGTGTTGATACAGACGGGTTCCGTCACCTTAGTTACATTAATGTTAATCTTTCTAAGTGCTACTCTGTAACGGCGGTGGAAATAAACTTTAATCAACTGCAAGAAATTACTTTAAAAACATTAATGTCTGAGTATTTATTATTAATTTTATCATTCAAAAAATAATCTATTTACATGGAAATATTGTCGTTACCTGGCTTGGTCAGTTTCCTTTCATCCGTCTTCTTAAAGTAAAGCGTAAATTGCTTCAAATAAATGGCTTGTTTTCTATGAATGTAACAAATCTATCTTCAGTAATACAAGATTCGCTTTAAAATAGTGTTCTTCGTGCCAGTAGCGATGGTTTTCCACTACGTGACGGAGTATTATACTGGTATCAAATAAGAAAGGGGAAATATAGACATAATAGAACTTTTAAAATATTTATTAATGCTTTAAATTTTGATTTGTAGTATAAAATTGTATATGAAACTATCTATATTTGATCAATTTCAATTTGAACAGATTTAAAAGAGGTGTTTTTTTCTAAAACAATAGCATTTAAACAAAATAAAAATCAGTACAGTATAATTAATTCTGTTGTATTGACATCACAGTTATGAATATTGAAAAAAAGTCCCAATGCGACCTCACCGCTCACCTGATATTAATATCATACTTGTAACCTCAAAAGTGGCCAAATGTCAAATATTTAGGAGGCACGGAAGTCAAGTGGTAGGACGCCGGGCTCGTGACCGAACGGCACGGCACTGTGTTGTACCTTTGAGCAAAATAGTTTACTCCGCTTGCTCCAATCAACTCAGCTGTATATGAGTCCGTGGTTGGGCAGCGCTAGAATTGTTGAATGCTAGCTGTTAGCGCCGAAATGGCAGCTCCGACGGTATGCACCCCAAGGAGTTGAGAAAGATATTGGCTGGTTGCAAAAGCCCTATAACCACGGATCATAATTTTTGAACCGCTTTGAGACAACCTACTAACTAGGTTGTGTTAAAGCAGTATATAAGAACCNAATAAGAAAGGGGAAATATAGACATAATAGAACTTTTAAAATATTTATTAATGCTTTAAATTTTGATTTGTAGTATAAAATTGTATATGAAACTATCTATATTTGATCAATTTCAATTTGAACAGATTTAAAAGAGGTGTTTTTTTCTAAAACAATAGCATTTAAACAAAATAAAAATCAGTATAGCATAATTAATTCTGTTGTATTGACATCAAAGTTATGCATATTGAAAAAAAGTCCCAATGCGACCTCACCGCTCACCTGATATTAATATCATACTTGTAACCTCAAAAGTGGCCAAATGTCAAATATTTAGGAGGCACGGAAGTCAAGTGGTAGGACGCCGGGCTCGTGACCGAACGGCACGGCACTGTGTTGTACCTTTGAGCAAAATAGTTTACTCCGCTTGCTCCAATCAACTCAGCTGTATATGAGTCCGTGGTTGGGCAGCGCTAGAATTGTTGAATGCTAGCTGTTAGCGCCGAAATGGCAGCTCCGACGGTATGCACCCCAGGGAGTTGAGAAAGATATTGGCTGTGATTGCAAAAGCCCTATAACCACGGATCATAATTTTTTAACCGCTTTGAGACAACCTACTAACTAGGTTGTGTTAAAGCAGTATATAAGAACCTCGAATTATTATTATTATTAAACGGACTTAATTAAGCTACGTACGAATATTATTACCTATAAGTGGCGATAATTATTGGTTGTTAAAAATTACTGGTTTAATTATTTCAGCACAACAAGATCATTCAATATAGCCAGCGGTGTAGTTCTTCATCCAACGATGACTACTGGCCAAATGTCATAATCCGAGGCTAGTTGGTCATTCTGGGTCGAAGTCAATTTTTCACAAACTTCGCTTATCCCAGGGAACTACCAGTGACATATGCTGACCCTATGCCTTTCCGGTATTTAGAAAAAGATTGTTTAAATGAAACGTCAACGGACGACAAACTCTGCGCCACGGCATAACCTAGGTCCAATTGCCCTTCGAGTATGTGAGATATAAAACAATATTGATAACATGTTTTGAATAATACTTTGTAACAGTTTGAATTCGAAGAAAATCAATATTGGACTTAATTATTACCAAGTGATTATAATTGATTTATCTAATGGATTGAGATTTCCTTA